GTCAGTTTTTTCATTCATTGACCAAATTTCCAATTGAAAAAATGTGGATTTTTTAATGAATTCGGTTCACAGTATAAAGAATGGACATGCATGTGTTTAATCTCCTCGTCACCCTCATATTTGTTTTTCACATCACCCGGGAACTTCCCTAGGTGAGGGCTTGCCCGTGTATGCTATTCGAACACACTATAGACCTCTTTACCAATGAATTCAAAATTTATATGCAATCATGCACACAAGTGGTCTTGGCGGCAAGAAGTGTGAGCAGCCATTGATAATGTACACGGGCGCGACTTTGATGACCATTTTCTCTCTGGTGTTTTGGCTTTGTTCAGGTTCTTTCTTAATTACAAGTATACTGTTAAATCGTTGTTACTGTTAGTTACAGCCCTTATGGGGGGTCGCCACGCGCCAGCCAAGCCACACCACCACCAGAACACCCCCAAACCATAATAACACTTCACAAACAGCCAAAAGAGGCCTCTGACAAGTTCCAGACAGCTGTCACTGACAACAAACATTCCACAGCCTGGCCCAGGCACTGTTTTTTTGTAAATAATATATTAGGTTGTACACAAGGGGCCACTTAGCACACAGTCTTACGGGAGTTGGCTGGAGGCTGGCTGGATTTTCCTTTCTGGCAAGGGGAGGCCCTGGCTGTAAAGTGACTAAACCAGGTTGTTCGGCATGGACAGGGGTAAGATATGATAAACAGTTGTTGTATTTTGACCCACATCAATTTTACACCTTAAGTTAGCTCCAGTGGTCTCTCCAAAAGAGGCCACTCCCTCTACGCAAACACGTAAGCAAAGCATTTACATTCACACTAATTTATTTCTGTAATTCAAAATCATAAAGTAACTTCCAAAATTGTTTGAAGCAAGGACACTTTTACATGTAGTTGCGAGTACGTCATAAATACACATGCGTGTATCAACCAACCATACATGTGTTGCATCATTTTTACTATTTTTGCCATGATTGCTGAATTCTTGTTTTAGCCTACAAGCGTACAAACTGTCCCGCAAACATCGACTGTGGTACACCAACAAAAATCTAAACGTAACGACGGTGGAAAAGAATTGACAACTAATTTTCTCTTGCCATGATGAGGGAGTGTCAATTTGCCTTTTGAATGTAACTTCAAATTCAAAACTTACAGGAACAGGAAATGCACAAATATATATAACGTGTTAAAAAAAAACTGTCGTGGGTTAATTGTACATGTACCAAGAGTATGCATGTATTCCACAATTTCTTAAATACAGGTACCTGGGAACTCTTGGTGTCATGATGGCTTCTGAACAGGAGATGAGAAAGCGGCAAAGTGACTTGCTCCAGGATAACCTTGACAGTTCTCTGGAGCCAATGCTGTTTCCTTCGAACAAAGCAAGTGGAAATCATGGCTTTGAAACTCGAAATGTTCCATTAGTGCGAGTCAAGAATTAGTGTCCAATGATTGTGGATTATCTGAATAAACACGAGTCGTAACTATTACACAGTCTGACGGTACGTTTAGGGGAGCATAAACAGCAAAGTGTAAATACATGTATTGTTTGCCCCATTGTGCAGTTATTGTCCCACGGTACAATTACATGGGTTGCGTCCAGAATATCTTCTTCATCGTTTGCGTTGTGTTTTTGGCGAGTGGAGCGACTCGTGCGTTGTTTTTTTTTTTTTTTGTCAAATGAGGGCGCTGCTTTAGCGCTTATAATATGTCCATACCACCATTTATGACACGCCGAACAGAGAATTTCCTAGACAAATCGCCATAATTTTGCCATTGTTTTTGTGTACATTTGGACAGCTCAGGAAAGTGAGTAGTGATCTTTAGTTCCGGATTCAATATGGATATTTTTGTTCTAAGTTTGTAACCGATGAAGGCCATAAATGAAGAGTTTTGTCATAAACATTTTCCTTCTGGCTAGGACCCTCGCTTCCCTAACAAATGGGCGCGCTGTGCGTGAAGCATATGTAGGTCTTGCATACCGCTCTGATTTGGAGAAGTTTGTTATTTTGTTATTTTTAAGACAGTTCCTGGCAAGGTACATGTGTGTTTAAGTACAATACATGTAACTGCGCTGTACATGCATATGTTATTAGCAAGGACAGAATGTCTATAATTTGACATATTATTTAGTAATTTTTGTTTTGTATTTAAATTATAGTTGAACCACCACCACCAAGGTCAAGTTACCAAGTTCTAGCTACCACACCGCAAAGTTGCCACATCACCTTAGCGTCACCACATCTGTTGTAAACCCCCTCACCACTGCCAGTCACTTCTATATTTTGCCACGCCATAAATTGCCATACCAGAGTTTTCCTTGCCATGAAACTGCAATACATTATCCACCCAAATTGTGTCACAGGATTGAAACTTCATTTGCTACTGTTAGTCGTTAAAGTAACACTGGTTTATTTTACATCATCTGAAATTGGTGCGTGTCATTGCTGAGCATTTCAAGTTTCGATGATCTGTAGTGCAGAGGCTATATGTACATGTATATGTACAGTGTGGTAGTTACTGTATGTGCATGAGTACACGTAAACATTTGTACATGCACTGGTATTGCTGTACATGTAGGGACATGTACATGTATGCACAGATACATGTTTACACTTTTAAATGGTTATAGCATTCTTTGGAGCTGCATTTTTTAGAGATCATCAAATTTATTATACTACTGATTTAACACTTAGGCTGAGGTCTCTGACATGGCATGGGGGAGTAATCCCTGCAGATGAAATCTGGTTGAAGTTTGGTGGTGACAAGGGAGGAAACTTTTTTAAGCTTTGCTTCCAAATTGTCAATACTTCACATCCAAATTCCCTGAATAAAATGTAGTTTTAGCCTGCTTTGAAGCCCCAGATTCTAGTGCAAATCTGCAGCATCTTGCTCCCATCTTGGATCAGATGACTTCTCTTCAGAGCCTTACGTGGAGGTAAATCAGATTTGTTTGCATTTGTATGTTTGAAAAACTTTACATGTACATGTAAAACTACATGTAATATACATGTACAAGTACATGTGTACACTAAATGTTAATGCATACGTGGATATTGGCAGTTGATGAAAGTGTATCAGGTATGATCATTTCCCTGACTATCATGTCACTGTGCAGTTACGGTCTTTTGTACAGTTATGGTATCATGTATCATGTGATGTGATAAATGTATATGTACCTGTACATGCATATACCTGTACATAAAACTGTGCAGTAAAAGACTGGCTTTTTATCTCTAACGGAAAGAAAAAAGTATGTCTCTTCGAATTTGCAGACTATGAACTTCCGACAAAATTTTACGGGATTTGCAGTTGCAACGGTAAGATTTTGTGTTTTGTTATTTGTATGATTACTGTGTCACTGTTCCATTTTTAAATCCCTGAAAATGCATCTATTTGGAGTAATAAAATGTTTTTATTTCTTTTTTCACAGCTCGTTACTGTTGCCTGTATTGTCACACATCAAAGCAACAAATGCAGGTGCCCACTCATGAGAGAGATACCCTAGTCAAGCCCCGAACAGTAGACACATTGGCCTATGATTTTCAAGTCTACATGGAGGATATATCATACAAAAGCCATGCGAAGGTCATCTCTCACCAGGTCAAGGTCATGTGTGCAATGTTAACTTCTAATCCAAAACTGTCTTGAATGCCTGTAAATAAAAATATTTAATGTGGAATTGAACTAGCCTTATTGCAAATTGTGTTGGTAACTTTCTTTCAAAAGAAAGTCTTAAAATTTTACTCATTGTATCTCTTATGACATATGAATTCAATTTTTATGGAGTGCCTTGGTTTCTTTCGAATGCATGTACATGTATGTTGTATCGCCAACACTCCATATATCCCTTGAGGTATACAAGAAATTGTTTGACATATTTGAGAGTGGATGCCATGCAATTGAGTTGAAGCTGTACAAAGTATCGAGCACACAATGAGGAAGAGGACTCGCTTCAAGAGAACACCAATTTTGATGAACAGGTTGCTGCTGAGTGTGCATGATAACAGAAACTTGACAAGGAAAAGGCCGGAATGGACGTGAAGCTCACAGCTTGAAGAGAAATTACCTCCTCAAGTACTCTAGAACAACTTGAAAGATTCCAATTAAGCATTTCAGGGAATGGCAAATAAGGTATTTGTTCTTTGACTCCAACTTCAGGAAATGGTACTCCATTTAATGCATTTATTTCCTAACGTAATAGATTCTTAAAAATATTATTTTCAAGAAAAATCGAATTCTTAATTCTGATTGGTCGATCCACGGCAACTGTGAGACATGTAACTATGTAGCACAGTCAATGTCAAAACCCATGCAATGGGCTAATCTAACTGCCCATTACACTGTTTTCATTCGAGAAGCAAAAAGCAGACCTGCAAAGTTTACTGGAAATTAATGCCTTGCGCTTGAGCATCAAGTCTTCTTGAAAATAAATTTATGACACTTGCGATCGAGGAATATTGAAAAATGTAGTGCGTATATACCACAAGGCCGAAGAACAAGTGACATACAAGTAGGGGATAGAGACGCACTAACGTTATTCCATATTCCCCAAGCACTGGTGTGATATCTAATAGTGCTCAGGAATCTTTTTTCTTTCTTACATGTGTTTATTTTCTAACATGTACACGTATTGCATATAATTGTTAATACACACATGTACAGATTCGAATTTACTAAATTGATCTTAACCATGTATGCCGTGTTTTGTATTTGCTGTATTGTTCAGGAAACTGGTACGCTTGATCTACCGTATGGCACTGGTCCTATAGCCGGCTGCTAGGACAAAGTCCTTCGGAAGCATCACGTATGCAGACAAGCTTACCGTGAAAGGCTTTGTGAGAAATCTTGCCCACAAGTGTTACCAGGTATATGTACATGTTAACTTAAAATCTGTTTAAAGCTGTGGATTTCTTTAGAATACTTGCTCATGAACAGAGTTTCTAAAACAGTTTTGTTTTGCATTCAGGTGCACGTCATCACTGACCTTACCTCTGCACCATCGGAACTAATGAACAACCTTCCATGTCACACTCTCCCACTGGGACGCCATCAAGCTTTGATTTAAGAGACGGCGGCCCCGGGCGAAGATTTCACGATATCTTTTCAAAGTTTGCTGCTGTTTAAAGTGCACTCAACCACACTCGAGCAGTTACACCTGCAGACTTGGATCACACTGATATGACACATTATGCTTGTCTCTTAGTCCTAAGACTCGAGACTACCGTTTACAATTTCTAAATACCTGTATTTATTTTCTTTGACAGATAAGTGTATCAAGGAGTTTATGGCCACATACAGAGGAATGTTGCCACAGGAATCCATTACCCCGAAGATGTATCTCCTTGAAAACCATGCCTTGTAGCAGCTTTCCAGATTCGGATTTGGGTTTGGGCTGTGAAACGAACAAGGCGGTGAATTGATCCATACGGAATTCAACCTAACAGGTCGTGTAGTTCATGGCATCAAAGATCATGTTAAGCGTCTTCTGACTACCATGAGAAGACACCACACCAGTACGCTTTCCGTAATTCAAGCTCAAGTAGCTTGCAAAGTGAAAGGAATAAAGAGGAGTAATGGAGATTTGTTTCAAATGTAATGTAAATAATGTGACAAAAATATGCTTTTTGCAGTGTATTGATTAGCCCAATACTGACACATTTCATCTGATTTAAGGTTAAAGATCAGTTTCATAAGATATGCCACAGGCAAAAAATGGGATTTGCAGTTGTAATCAGAATACATGTACCTTATCATTAGCCTGACTGGTACACGCATATGTACATGTACGTGTAGTGCTAATCTAGATTATCATGCTCCACATTTGAATACACACAGATAACTGTTCACACAAAGGGTACCTAGAATGGATGGCAAAAATTGAACTTAAAACATTCAGGACGAAACTGCAGAAAAAAATGGAACACGAGTCATTTATATTGCAGTGATAGGACATGTGCATACGTGTATTCAGGACATGTTCAGTGGCACTGGTTGGTCAATAATCCCTAAGCCTACATTTTGTTCATGTGAAGAGGTATATTTCAATTGAAAAAATAAACAGGTTGACATGAAGTTCGAAACACATAATAACATTTCTACATTTTTCTTTTTAAATCATGTCTCCTATATGCAGGCTGGCCTACATCAAACTTCGGGACCCCCCACTCCCAAGTTTCCCCCAAACCATAGGCAGTGTTGTCTGAACTGCACTAACCCGGTGTGGGGGAGACTTGGATGTGTAAATATTGAGAAATTCTGACTTTCCTACTGATAAACCAGCCCGGTAAATTTGAATACTCCGTGGTGTATTTCATGTTTTAAAGCACAGTTCCCCTCATATGCATGTACATTTGTATTACCATCAAAGCTAAAATCTGTGCCCTCTCTTCACATCATCAACCCTATCCAACATGTCACAGTCATCTACGTGTACAAGTACCAAGGGGCGTCCACAAGTTACAATGTAGGCTTAGATTTTCCTTCGTTTAAGCAACGGCGTACCCAAATTAAATATTCCCACCGCCCATGCCCCACCGAGTATTAACGTTGAACCCATACACGTACAAATGGGCTCACGGTCAACTTGGTCCGCAACCGACTTAGTCCGAGTCAACTCGGTCCTAAGTCAACTTGGGCCCATGGAGTTTCTCCCAAGCAACCAAGGTAGCTTCTTTTCATGCATG